TGGCGCCGGCCCCGCACTCGCGCCCGTTTTCCCGCCTCGGTTTGAAAGCGGCGCTGTTTTGGCCCGAGGGGCCGCGCGTGGCTTCGCTCGGCGGGCTTTAGCCGGGCTTAACCCGGGCAGGCTTTAATCCCATAAACTGGGGTGGGAGAGAAGGGAGGCCGAGTGTGCGTATGTTTCCAGCCCCGGGCTCCGCGTTGGCGACGCCGCTAAGCGCTCCCTGCGGATGGCGGAGGCTGGAGGGCGATGAATTCCGTGGGTAGGCAGCCTGCCTTCTTTCGGCCTGGGGGAGCGCGCGGGTCTGCTCGCGGGGGCCGCCGCCACTCTATCCGGACACAGGCGGGCTCGCTGGCACAGCATCGGGCAGCGGTGGAAGGCGAAGGCACGTCTTCCGTTCTAAAACGGAGACCTATACAAGATATAGATCATCGGTCTCTTCCCGGTTTGGTTAAGTGTGGCTAAAGCTACTAAATACTGTATGAGGAGGGAGATTTAATCCTCCCAGATAATTCCCTTTTTAATATGTTACATAGTTGCCTAAAATACGAAGTCTTGCAAACTAGGGAAATGCATGGAGAGTTAGTTGAATTAATCACCTTTTAATTGCACTTATTTTTATTACATCTGTTTCCCACCTGCCAGATCCCTTTGCTCTTGTTGCAGTGTTTTGATCAGTGTTTTGGTCTTGGAGACGGTCCTTTGGTTTTAACATAGAATCATGTTTGCTTACTTATGTAGTAACTCATCAACAAATAATAATAAAAATTTTAAAATAATACAATGGAATAAAATCAGAGATTGCCAGTCCAAAATATAAAAACAACATACCAGTTGAGAATCCAGCTTCTCCATCATTACTTTAAGTGTGTGCTGCTTTAAAATCCCAAGGGATTAAAAGGCCTGCTTGTAACACCAAAATTATCATAATTAGAGGCCAAGTCAATCTTGCTAGGTAAGCTGTTCCTTAAGTGGGGTGCACCATCAAGAAGATCTCAGTAGCTCATCTGCTTCAGGTATGAGTAGCGTCTGGCCTGGAAGTCTGAATCCTACAAAGACCTGGACTTTTTTTTTAACTTTTAAAAATAAAGGTAGAAACAAGGTTGGAGAGTGGTACCAACAGCCGGAAGTGGGCTGACATTACGGATGAGGCCATTCAAGAATTTCTGCATGGATCCTCAAAGTATATTATAAGGGCTATTTTAGAAATTACTTTTAATTCTTATTGGGGAATTTAAACCTCAGAAAATGAGCATAGTCTTCATTCCCTACTGAAGGGCGAGCACATGTTTAGAAGCTCTAGGAGGCACATTGCGAAGAAGATAGAAACGTGCTATAGACAGTATGAATTGCCATGCACTAAATAGAAGCCAGCATTATATGTAAAAGCATTGGTGTCTAAGTCGCACTGGCCATGTGACCCCGGAAGATTGTCTTTGGACAAACGCTGGCTCTATGGCTTGGAAACGGGGATGAGCACCGCCCCCCAGAGTCGAACATGACTGGACAAAAATTGTCAAGGGGAACCTTTACCTTAAATAGAAGCAAGCATTATATGTAAAGCAATATAAAAATAAAAGGACAAATAAAAAGGTGAGGTGATACCTCAAAGGCTGTTTATTTTTTTATGTAAGCTTTTGTAGCATCAGACTATTTCATTTGAAGCAATGACCTCAATGTTCCTGAGAGACAGTGTTAGACCATAGGGGCTCTTTTGATTGTACTTAACTCATGCTGTTGTAGCTGACATGTAAACATTATTTCTTTTTTGAAACCTACTTAAGTTAGTAGGTTGCTTGCAGTATCAAGCTGATGGATGCCTAAAACGTAGAACAGTTGTGTAATTGTTCTAGGAAATTGCTTCTTTATTTGCATGTCTTGTTGCTCCAAAATTTCCTATCAGTTTATCTAATGAATATATTAATTGTTAATATTCTCCCTCTCTGTGTGATCCAGTTATAGAACAGTTTGTAAGTTTAAGATGATCTAACATTTCCAGGTGGAAATTTGGTTTGCTACAAAGGTTTTATAACAATTTTAGGGAACATAGTATTTTAAGGCAGAGTGGAAATTGGTTTCACTAGTGATGCAAAGGTTTTATAACAATTTTAGGGAACATAGGATTTTAAGACAGAGTCTTGTGTTAAATGCTGAGTGGAAATTGGTTTTACTAGTGATCAAGACATGATTTTAAAAAACTAAGAGTGTTGTGACTTCTTAAAGTAAAATACACTTCATATTGTGTAAGTTTTAAGGGGATTCTGTGATGGTACAGTTCCTTGACTGTAAAGTGTGCTAGGTTTATAATGCCTCAGAAGTCAGATTATATTATTTCAGCACCTTGTATTTTGGACAGCACCACTCTGTTATGCAGAAAAGCTCTTTATAGTACATTGTGTAATGTACATGCTAGCTGGCTCAGTGAGTTACAGTAGTTATTCCCCACTGTGCCTTCTGGGGGAAGAAGCAGCCTGTGTGGCCTTGGGCAATCCGTACAGTCTCAGAATGCCCCCAAAAGAAAGGAAGCGCTGAACCACTTCTGAGTGCTCACTAGTACAGTACTCTCACTACCTAGAAAATCCTGAAAAGGATCACCATAAGTCAGAATTGATTTGAAGGCACGCAATTATTATCCTCCCTTCTTGGATGCAAACCTTAACATGGTGAGGGGGGGTTGAGTGTGTCAAAGAAGTCAAGAGCAATGCCATCAGGAGGCTAGACAGTGAAGAAAGATAACAGTAAGAAAAATTATTCATTTGAAATATGGTTCTAGAGGAGAGCTTTGCAGATACCCTGAACTGCTAGAAAACGAAACAAGGGGGTCCTATAGCAGATCAATTCTGAGCTTTCTCTGAAGGCCAAAATGACTACTGAGGCTGGGCACACAATGAGAATATAAATTGTCAGACTAGTCTGAAGGACATCAGGACATTTGTTCTTAAAGTTTAAGGTGAGAAGAGGCCAATATTTGATGTAATATGTGGATTAAACACTATATAGCATGTGGTGTTTTAATCCACATATTATATTACATGCGATAGCGTGTAGCGTTGCTGTTGTTGTTACATGTTTATCAAGTTGCCCCTGACCTATGGTGACCCTATGAATAAACAATCTCCAAAATTTCATGTCCTTAACAGCCTTGCTCAGCTCTTGTAAACTCAAAGTTGTATCTTCCTTTATGCAGTCAATCCATCTCATATGTAGCCTTTCTCTTTAACTGCTGCCCTCAGCTTTTCCTAGCGTTATTGTGTTTTCCAGTGAATCTTACGTTATAATGGAGCAAAGCTTGAATGTTTCAAAACTTAGTTTTCTAGTGTGCTTATTTGGAAGCAGATATCAATAAAATCATTATCTACTTTATGTATATGGTTTTAACTACAGAAGAAAAAGTATTTAGCTTTGAATGTAGACTACCGAGTTGGTAGTTGTTGCCAAAGACTATATTTGTTTTTGAGCTGAACAGCACAAAACAACAACTGTCAATAAGAATCAATCCTCATGATCAGCAGGTCTGCGGTAACTGCAAAAAAAGTGTGTGAGAAGATTATCCCCAGATAAAATGCAAGTTAGAATTTTAAATAAATACAAATTCGGTATAATACTGTACATCTAGCTATGGCACAAATTTATACTGTATTTGTCCCTATCAAGAGCATAAATATTCTTTAAGTAGGAATCTGCTGAACAAATCCAGTATGTTCCCAGATAACTAGAAATGACTGAACGTGAACGTTTCCTATCACTTTTCTTCTCCCATTCTTGCTCTGTGAACACCGTCAGAGCAATATGCTATTGTCAGAAATGAGAGGTCTGTATATATTCCTGCATCTGTAGCTAGTCAGCTTCAGTTGAATTACATGAGCTCCTGGACCTAGGAGAGCCACATACAGATTTCCGATTCCAAAAATTGATTTGGGATACTTCTGGCGGTGAAGTTATCAGGTGGAAACAACCTTTGGCTGAAATGGTTTCTGTTCATGAGTGGACATTGGGAATTCAGATGCATGAAAATGCATCATTTGGCTTTCAGCTAATGTACCTTTTAAAATAAATTGTTATTTATTCTGTAGAGTTTGTCATAAACACAGAGTAGTAGCCAATTATGTGTACATAGTAGTAGTAGCCATGTATATTGTCCTACATGCTAATTTTGATATTTGGGGGCACATATATGTTAATGTTGACCCAATGCTCACTTCAATTCCAAATCACTGTTATATTAATTGTTCTGTTTGTTTTATTGCTATAGGAGTTGACACAAAGCTGAAGTTTACACTTGAGCCATCCTTAGGTCAAAATGGTTTTCAACAGGTAACATACTATTTTTGTTCATTTTTACAATAATGTGTTCTGAAAACAGATAAAAATTATTTCAAATACGGATTGAACCATGGAGCAGAAATGCATTCTGTTATTCCAGTGAACCTATGTTCCAAAGTGTTCTGAAACCCTGCTGTTCGTTTTTCTGTTACAGCTGATAATGAATGGCAAGAATGTTAAAAAGTATTCAAGTCATTTTTGTGTAATGACCATTTAAACTATAGATTATCCCCCTCTTTTCTGTGTTCTGTATGGCTAGTCTCATATTGTATTTAAGTACTTTGTTTACAAATAATTTGTCATAAATATACTAAATTGATATATTTGAAGAAAACATTGCAAGTCTAATTGTGTTCCTGAACTGGAGTCATTTAAAGTTGTTTGAATGGTTGCTTTCCAGTGGCATGATGCTCTCAAAGCAGTGGCTAGGCTGCCAACGGGAATACCGAAGGAATGGAGGAGGAGGGTAGGTAGAGCTATACTTATTACATAATGTCCTGTCTGTGGATTTCAGAGATCCATAGTTTTCACTACCACATAAGCTTCTTTTGATATAATTGCTTCCTCCTAATTTTAAGAATGAACACTTGGAATTCTCTACTCCTTATGTGATATCTAGGATACTAAAACTAGATTATTTTTGCATATACTTATGTATAACTCCTGATTTATATTGTTTTTTGTGTTGCTTTTGAGGTCTGGCTCACCTTGGCAGATCACTACCTGAGGAGTATAGCAATTGACTGGGATAAAACGATGCGCTTCACTTTCAATGAGAGAAGCAATCCTGATGATGACTCCATGGGAATTCAGATTGTGAAGGTATTTCAAAGCACATGATTGGCCTTATTACATTCTTTATCTTCATTTAAAAATCAAAGATAAAGTTGCTGTTTGTCTGTTATATATGTATATATTTCTTATTGATCAAGCAAGGCAACTTGTATATTTGTTCAAGCCACTAGGATTTCTCAGAGCTGTCTCAACAACATCACAACTTGGTTTTGTCTTTATATGATACACCAGTTCCTTTATTTTTGTTCTGTCAACAGTGCACTTCATTTTCCATACTACAGTGTTCTTTTATATAGTAGGATATAAAATGTGAAGCAATATATGACAAGGCAGCAAAGTAAATAAAGGGTGCAAAAAATAAAATCTGTAATAAGATCGTGCTGTTACATATTTTGAAAGACATGATTTCTTTCAAAGGAAAATTACCATGATGGCTTCCAGAAATGAACATCAATTAAACACTGAGCATCAGATGCATATACTTAGTTTTTTAAAACTATTATGCATCACCATAGTGTAAATGGTTTCCCCCTGCACTGCTAGAAAATGCATTTGCCTTGCAGTACAAACTGTTATATGTCTATTAAGTCTAGTATGTTTCATGGGCTTTACTCCCAATTAAGTGAGTATAATAGGAGTGGGCAACCTTTGCAGGCCCAAGGGCCAGTTCTGACCCCAGAAACCTGCTGTAGATCATGCTGTCTCCCAAAATGTGATTCACCTCCCAGCACATACTGTACTCTCATTTTTCCAAAACTAGAAGAGTTCAGACATTTTCTTCTGATTTGAAAGAAAAAGCACACTAAAGTGTGTGCGTATATTGGAGTTTGGTCAGATCTGGAAGTGGCTTGTGGGCTGCAAAGCTGGCCTTGGAGAGCATGGTTGCATAAGGTACAGGGTTGTCACCTTAGCTATACATTTCAAAGTCACATTTTGGGTTACTTCGAATTTAAAGTGGGCCAATAAGACATGTGAATACCTCCCTGTTTTACTGTTGTTCAGTAAAATTTTCATTGTTTACAAAGTTTACTTTGTGGAGTATAATATTCTTATTATGGGCAGCACATTTTTTTAAAAAAAATTGAAGTTTGTGGAGAAAAGGGCAACCACCATGAGGATGTATCTAGAAACCTAGTCATGTAAAATGTGAATGAAAGAACTGGGTATGTTTAGGTTAGAAAAAAGATTAAGGGGAGACAGGATAGCAGTCTTCAAATAAGAACAGCTTTCATGCAGGAGGTGGAAATGGAAATGGAGGCAAATGCTAGAGTAGTTTTCCTCATGCAGGGACAAAAAGGTATGGAACTTTATTTCATTATATGAATACCCGCCTATGAACAGAACAGTTATAACCCAACCACAGAACAGAGAGATATAATCCAGAATATGCAGGCTTACAATATATTGAGGCTTGTGACTTAGTTTTATACTAGAAATAATAAAGCTGTACATCTTCCTGAATATACACGACAAGAAGACTGGCTCTGACTGGCAACTGTAAATTATAGATTTTATTTGTACTGTGCTACATTAAAAATGGATGCTGCATCTGTTTTTCTCTTGCTCACTAATGGTAAGCTCCCTGGAAGTGTAACTCTTGGGAATTTTTTAAAAGCATTGGCTTGATCTCTTACTACCATTCTGTATTCTGATATCTGGTTCTTATAAATGTGCTTATCTAAAACGTAAATGTATTAAATAAAAATCTAATAGTGTCAGAAAAAAAGTCACATGGTTTTCCTCAGTTGTTTAAATTCAGTTGTTGGTTCTAAGTCAGATAGCCCTATTGAATCATAGGTTCTTATAAATCAACACTTCTGCAATTCCTGTTGTCTACACTATTTGGAACTAACAATTGGATTTGGCCAGACAAAGATTGTTACAGATTGAAATGTGGATGCTGCAGTTGGAACACCAGCACGACCTTTGGTACCGCGCACAACAGAAGGTGTAGTCTAACACATATGTAGGGTTTCAGGTTGGGGAAGGCTAGCTTAGCTCTGGTTGTGAGCAGGAGCCCACAGCAGCAGTCCCCAACCTTTTGGGGACCGTGGACTGGTTAGGGGGGTGGGCTCTGTGGGGGGGCATCCCTGCATGAGTGCAACAAGCCCCTGCATGAGCATGACACTCCCCCCACGTGAGCACAACATGGCCACTGTGCGGGTGGGTGGGGGGCGGAGATCTGTCTCCACAGCCCGGTTCTGGCAAGCCCACGGACTGGCACCGGGCTGGGGATTGGGGACCCCTGGCCCACAGGATACACCAAGTTACCTGGGGGTGAAACAGTCTAGTGGTGAACAGGTAAAGCTGGAGTTGTAGAACTCCAGAGAACTTCAGGGGAGCATCTTGTTTCCAGAAGGTCTGAACTCTGGAAGAGGACTTTTCCTCTGCTTTAGCCCAGGTTATCTCCTCTGGGTGCTATTGTCTTTTGTGTGGTTGTGAGTTTAATGGTCTAATTTTTTATTTTGAAGCCTAGTATCTATCCCTTGTTGGTTCCCTCATACATCATTGCTTTACTAGTAGTCCGTTGATTAAGACCATGACGCCTTAGATGGAGAAGCTGCTGGTTTTCTAGATATCACCAGTTTCAGTTTAATGTCTTTTAAAAAGACAGACTCAATACTAGCCTAAACTGCAAGTTTCATCAGATGCATATGAATAGCTATTCTTGGATTTTGTAATCTACCAGGAACTTTGTTGAAAAACTTGAAGTTTACAGTTTGGATAATATAATACTACTGTTTGATGGTTTTGTCGATAGCAGCATGGAACGTTTATTTTGTATTGTCATACTGGTTCCCCTAGTCTCTTCAGCCAGTCACTTTTTGGGGATTTCTATGAACACAAAGAACATTGCACGAGGGGCTGAGCTATTTGGCAAGGTGTCGCATGACCAATTGCCACGTGACATAATATTCCAATATTTTGACTTGTGGATAAGAATATCAAGATACAGTGCCTTGCCTCTTGTTGTTATTGTCTTTGCTCCTGCCCCAAGACAGTGGGGGAATCTAGCTAGAGGTAATCACTGCTGTAGAGGCTAGTGAAACATTGTGCTCCCTGATTGTTCAATGCAACATTGGTTTCCAGATTTCCATGTTTATTCCCACTTTTACCAATCTCCATTTTGTCACAACACTGTATGTTAAACCTCCATGCCTGCTCACCATAAGTCCGGTTATGAAAGGCATTCCTTCCCCCACAGAGGGAGTGTCAAAAGTTACACCTAGAATCCCCACACTCTCTTTGAGGTAACACACACAAACTATGCTGCATTTCTCTTTCTCTAGCTCCCTTCCTCCTCTCTATCCCCTGCCAATGAATGATATACAGTATTCATAATAGTAGAGTGGATATTTTAATGATGGTGTTGTAGCTATTTCGTGGCAGGTGGCATGTTGGTGTCCTGGTCATCTCATGCTGTCTCATCCCATTTCTTTGCATGCTTGCTCTTCCTCTCCTATCCCCTTCCTTCCTCTCTCTTTTTTCCTGAAGGAGGAGGAGGAAGAGATAGCCATTACATTTCCCACAGTTTACACCTGTGGAGGACCACCAGTCTTGATGCCCTAGCCAGACAGCAATGAAGTCAGGAGTGCTACTGAGGCAGCCCACTGTAAAAATTAGTGGTGGCATAAGTTGAAGTTACAACCCCAGGCAAGCAATTGGACAGTTGTTGTACTTGTGAATTCCAGACCCTGCCTCGAACATTGATTCATGCCTACCATTTCATTGAAACTATACAAAGCTATCACGCTGTGGGGAAAAAGAGCAGAGCAGTCTGCAAAACAGCTATATGACAGATATCTCTATCCTTGTTTTGGTGTGAAAAACCTCTAGATCCCCGAAGGAAGTTTATAATAGTTTGTAATTGTGCATCACATAGACATGGCAGACCCAGATGTGAAGATCAACACTTGTTTTGTAGCTGCAAATCATGAAACATACCCTGTCAGTATTCCTTCAATATGAACTGCTAAGGGCAGAATAGAAGTTAAAACCAGTTCTCCAGTTTTCCATTAGAAAAGAACTCATTTTCTCCATGATAAATCTTAAGATGTTTTCTTTTATGTATTCATTGGCTGTATTTATCAATCAGCACTCTTGTGCCACTGATTCTGTTAGCTGCCTCAAGCATTAGAAATGAGATATGAATGTAAAAATACTTAAACTATTTAAAATTCCTAGATTCTAGTCCAGTGTGCAAAGGTAGTTTGCTTCTGAAAATAAAATGACTGAAATAGTAGTGTATTTTTTTTTTCCCTTTCCCTTAGGATCTTCATCGAACCGGGTGCAGTTCTTACTGTGGCCAGGAAGCAGAGCAAGACAGAGTAGTATTAAAACGGGTGTTACTGGCTTATGCCCGGTGGAACAAATCTGTAGGATATTGTCAAGGTTTTAACATCCTTGCTGCCCTCATCCTGGAAGTAATGGAAGGCAATGAGGGAGATGCTTTAAAAGTAAGTTAAATGGAAAAGAATTGTGTGCATGGCATTTTTTTCTACATTGAGAGACCAATATTTATGTTGGAGATGATAACCTTCACATGGTCATGGCTCTGTTAATAATCTATGAAGCAAGAGCAATATTTAGGGAATGCTTCTGTTTTTTTTTTTATAAGTGGAAAGACTCTTAATAGGCCCAGAAAAGAATTTGTCCCACGTCTAAATGACATTAATGGTGAACTTTGTTATGCTTTCTTTTCAGATCATGATTTACTTAATTGATAAAGTGCTGCCAGACAGTTATTTTGTCAATAACCTTCGTGCATTGTCTGTAGACATGGCTGTGTTCAGAGACCTGCTAAGAATGAAGCTCCCAGAGCTATCCCAGCATTTGGATACTCTTCAGAGAGCTGCTAATAGGGAAAGTGGAGGTTAGTCCTATTCCAGTTTCCTCACTTTCCATTTATTATAATGGTCAGTCGTAAACTCCCTTGTCCCGAGAGCAACTAATATTTAAAGCATGCATTTGATCATGAGGCTAAAACCATTAGTGTACTTTAAAAAGCACATGTTTCAGATGAAGTGAATGAACTGGAATCTCTAACGTTCCTTAGGCAGTTAGGCTAATAGTATCAGCAGTCAAGGACCTGGGTTTAACCATGCTACCTGTGGATTTTGGTGTTTCTAGTTGAAAAGAGTAACCTTTTTCAAGGTCAGATTAGGAGTTTTATGTTTTGTTTGCAACAAACATCTGTGTTTAGCTAGTGTGATCTGTGTGAAAAAGATTTATTTCTGTTTCAGTTGGGGAATTTTATATTTATAAAATTTATATTTATATCCCGCCTATCTGGTCGGTTAAGACCACTCTAGGCGGCTATATATATATATAAATCAAACTAAAGTAACACAAATTATATTTATATTTATATTTATATATGTAAAGTAAAACAAAATGACTGTTTGGGCAGGAGGACAAGGACATAAGTATAGCATTAATCCTTGTTTTTCCTCTTCTAAAGGGGCATTTTGTTAAAATAAATTGAAAACTTTTGTTCAGGGTGGTGTAAAAATATTTCAGATTGAGGAGCAACTGTAGTTTTAGTTCGATACCTTATAAACATGTTACTTTTGTCAGACCTGGATTTAAGAAGCCTCACTGTGTGTTCTTTAAAAGCGTCCCAATCTAAATTGCATAGGCTTCATCTGAGACTTCAGTTCCATTAATTCTGTTGAGTTGATTTCTAAGTAAGTGTGGATAGGCTTGTACCTTTGGACAATTAACAAACAACAACCCATACAAGAGAAGAGAATATAGGAAAGAATAAGACAAATATAATGAAGTAGTTACACTAATTAAAAGCAAGTTCTTGATCATATGCAGCTGCTGATCTGATCACATGCTGACTATTTCAGTTTATAATGTTTCTGCTACAAACTGAACAGTGCTGTTTTGCAGTTCATAATATTTGGCTCTCCAGATGTTTTAGACATCTGATTGGATGTTCTGGTTTGGACTGATGGAAATTGAAGTCTAAGACATCTGGTGAGTCTGAGAACCACTGTTGTAAAGGAATGTTCCCAGCATATTTAACTACTGCTCTTAGCTTCGAGAACATGGTTTTAGCTTTCTCAATCTGAGCTATTAAATTATAGCAAACTAAGTACAGTGGAACCATACACTATCATTGCTATAACATTATTTCTCCTTCTCCCATGTGTTCTGTTGAGAGAAACACCTTGCATGGAACTTATAATGTGACTTGTTCTTTCCTTTTCTACTACAGGTGGCTATGAGCCCCCACTGACAAATGTCTTCACAATGCAGTGGTTTCTGACTCTCTTTGCTACGTGCCTTCCTAACCATACTGTTCTAAAAATCTGGGATTCCATATTCTTTGAAGGTTCAGAAATTATATTGAGAGTAGCCCTGGCTATATGGGCAAAATTAGGAGAGTAAGTAATCTCTTTCTGAAAGGGAATCAAATTTTACCAACATGACATGGTATAAAAAGTGTTGGAAATTGTATATTTTCTCCTTGGCAGGATCCCCCATCTACCCCAAAGTACAAGGTTGTCCTTTCTTTTCTGTCCCACTAGATTAGTCCAGTGCCCCTTCTGTGGTGCAGTTATGTTAGGTGTAGCTGCTTGGGAAGAAGGAGGCATCTGCTGGCACCCAAAGTCTTTGTCTGACATTAAATCACTCTCTTCAGGGGTTCTGAGAATCAAAATATAAGGGACTTGTTTATGACACCATCGGGCAGACCTCAGGCTTTAGGGGATCTACTTTGATTTTGACTAGAGATGTGGCATCTTGAGGACCAAAAAGGGGAAAATATAATACAATCTGAGGAACAGAGTGCTTCTGATCACATGCAAAACCTAAGAATTTAAGATGAGCATCAGGACCAAGCCTAAAAACCTGTTCACACAAAAATCCTTTCCTGGCTTCCCTCTGATCATTCTTTCTCAGCATTCTAATTTAGAGAGGAAATACTTGCTTTTGTAAGATTTACCACTACATCCTGAGCTGTCCTCTGATCTGGTGGACAGAGTGGATGGGTATACATATATTGGAACAGAGATTTTTTTATTTTTGCATGTTTTAGGTGCCTAGGTCATGATCATGGCCAAGCTGTGCTTGTCCAGCTCTTGCACTGCAATTCCCACAACCTCTGATTTTTCGCCATTCTGGCTAGGAGTTGGAGTCCAGCCTCTGTATTTGTCACAAATGAAGAAAATCATAGTATTTGCACTGTCTTTGCAGCCTTTAATGAAAGCTTGAGAAATACTTTGCAAATTAAAAAAATGCTCAAAGTATTAGTAGTAACAGTCTAATAAGTTAATTGAAAAGGACTCAAAAAGCTATAAGAATCTTTTCCATATTTTGTGAGGAACATTAAACTTTCTTAAATAAAATACCAGCCCTTTTATTGAGATTTATGGTTTTGTTTTTTTGTTTTAAATACAGCATTCTTTGAACAACTCTATTTATTCTGCTGGTTAGTTGCATTCAAAACAAAAGATCCAGTCCTCATGCAGTTAATAATGTTTTTTTTTGTCTTTGACTTCAAGAGTAATTGTAAGCAGAAGAGCTATTAGTTCATCTGGAAAAAGCTTGTTTGATTCTATGACTACTTCTGATCCTTTCTTTTGATACCCACACTGTTTTGCTTTCTGTCCTGTGAAAGGAATTTAGATACAGAAATTATCCCTGAATTAAGACCAAAATATATTGTGGCACCCCTCCCCCCCCGTCAGCATTAATGAATAGTGGTTTAGACATTTAGGCTCTTAGGTAATGAATGCTTTTGTTTTGTGTTTTGTATTTTTAAATAATCAGAATTTTATTTCATTTTGCAAAATCATTTCAGTTAACAAAGTTTGGGTGCTAAATTTCTGTGATCAGAAATGAGTTGTGGGACATTCCCAACTAACAGCCTAGAGATATGCAGTGTTTCCTAATTTCTCCTCAGCTGTCCATCCTTGCTTTGTTGATTTGTTGGACAAGTCTAGAGATAGTCTACCTCCACCCAGGTGGACATAATGAGGGTCTGGCCCACTGGGGCCAAACTGTCCACTCACCTTTCCACCTCTGCCACAGGCGTCGCACTCCCTTCCTGTTGCTCCGGAGCTTGCGATCGACTAGCCACCACTGGCAGGAGGAGGTGGGATGACGATCCTCTGTGCCAGGTCAAAGAGTGGCTAGTCGACCGCGAGCTCCAGAGGTGGGATGACGATCCTCTGTGCCAGGTCAAGAGTGGCTAGTCGACTGCGAGCTCCAGACCAATATGAAGGGAGTGCAGAGCCCACAGCAGCAGTGGAATGGTGAGTGGACTATCTGGCCCCAGGGGGGCAGACTCTCGTTATGTCCACTTGGGTGGGGGTATACCCCCATCTCGGTATGGACAACCCATTATCTTCAGCATTATATAGCATTCCACGGAAACACTGGAGAATACAGATCACTATCCTGTTCTCTGTGTACAGTTATTTATGAATAGCTGCCCTTCATTAAGTGTTGTGCTGTTTATATGAAATGTCCTCTTTTTCTTGAAAGAGGTAGAATGCTGTACATTTGTTCAGACTGTAACGTGCTGTTTAAATAATGGGAAACAAATCTATGTTGTGACACAGGCAGATAGATTGTTGCGAAACTGCAGATGAATTCTATGGTACCATGGGGAAGTTAACCCAGGAGATGTTGGAAGACAACCTCATTGATAGCAATGAACTCATGCAGGTTAGTAAGCACTGACTGTATAAATATAAAACCATTGGGGAAGTAGTTCAGTTGGGATATTGTCTTACTTTCCCCAAATGAGAAAAACCTCTTTGAGGAAATATTGTAGCTTAGTGAACATGCCTTACATTCACATGTCTTCAGGTCTATTCCCTAATGTCTCCAGATAACGGTTCAGAAAGACTCCCGCCTTAAACCACAACAGTTTCTGCACGTGTAGGCAGTGCTAAGTACTAAGGTTAACTGCTACAGAGCAGTTTCAGAATATTATTTTTGAAAACCTTACAGATATTCTCTAGACCTTTCCCAAAACTTGTTGAAGCATAATCTAATTCACCCTTGTGCAGCATGCTTTCTATCCAACTTTGGCAAGAACATTAAAGATAGGGAAAGAACCTTATGAATAATGCAACTCTACTGTGCTTTTGAAATCAAAGGCAGTGGCTGCCCACGTTGCTCTTGAAATAGGCTTCCACAATTCCTCAGATGTCAGTCTGTGTACTGAGATGGTGTGATAAATGTCAGCTTCATAATTGCCGCCTCCTCTGTTATAAATTATAGTTCAGTGGTTGGTTTGATGTGTGCAGCCACAATAAAGTTATCCAGTTTGGTTAGGTTAAAGCTTGGAAAAAAGGCATGATTCCTTATTCATATACCATATATAACAGAAATGTATCTTTGGTTGCTAATAGAAGCCTCAATCATGGGCCAACTGCAGCCCATCAACCATGCACATTAGCCCACCAAGGCACTTCTAAGGAACCCTCTGCTTTTATAGCCTGCTTAAATACTGCTAAAGTGGGCACTTCTCTCCCTCTGGCAGACCACAATCTGTTGTTAAAAGGATATGTACACTCTTGGTGAGTTGCACATTGCTGTTGCTCTAAAGAATAAGGGAATAGTACAAACTTCAATCGTGTACAATGATCATCCTGCTCGTGTCTTCACAGGAACCAGCTCACATTATAGGCTGTTTTCTTAATCAAATGTTAAATATATTTGAGGATGTTCTGGAGAAAGGTTTACCACCACGTTTAGTTAGATGTTTTTTTGGGGGGTGAGGAGTAAGTAGTTTATTTATAAACTAAACCTCTAGAAATCAGCAACACAGAGAAGAATTTAGTGGTGCCATGACTCTTTCATTTGTGGACTAGCATTCCTATGGAACAGATTGCCATTGACATTAAAGGTATAACTTACTTCCAGGCTCTCCTGGAGTCCTTGTCAGAAAAAAGGTTGTGGTTTACAGTAAAGAAGCAGGTGAAAGTAATCAGACTCTATTAGGGAGGAAATGATGTGATGTTGGATGAGATTTCGCCTGCCTTTCTCCATCTCTTATCCTTGCACAGCATTGTTATTCAGGGGACCTGTTTTTATTTCCATGCTTGCAGGTGTGCTGACACACGAAATGGAAAAGCCATTTTATGTTGGAGGAGTTTTGGTGCAAACTCCTAAATGATGCGAGCACAGAAGAATCTCATTGCCAGAAGGGTTTAATATTTAATTGCTTACATTCAGAATATTAGGGCAATGTGCTCTCCTCTTAAGGAAGAAGTATAGTTTTGATTTCTATGGCAGCTTTTGTATGCTAATTACAGACCAAAAACGTTTGTTCTCTACTTATTTGTTCAAAAGAGTATCTGTTGCTTGCAGGGAATGCATCTGGCATCAGTTCTTTTTTGGCAGCACCAATGCCATTATTTATGGTGTTTTGAAACTTTTATGTTTTTATGGAATGGTAGAAATAAAAAACAAGAGTTTTAGCATCTGTTACTTTATAATTTCAGTGGCTACAGTGTTTTGTCTTAAGGCAGCAGGAGTCAATACAAGATCAACATTTGAGAAATGCAGGAACCTTTATCGGAACCCATTGTGCAGCCTTGCCAAGTGTAAATATCTGTGTAGTTTCAGTAAGAACACCGGTCCTAGATTTTCTCTCAGAACATCTGTATTCTATTCAGTTTCACTTGACATGGAGCAGAATTAGACATCCTTAGAGCTAAAACATGAATGGAGACCTTAGTAAACCACCTTAAATATATCAGTAACATTCTTGAAAGGATGCTTACGCTTTTTTTTTTTTGGTGGAATCATTAGTGATATGTTCATCTACAGAAGAATAAGATCTGATAAATACTTCCATGAGAAGCAGCTTTAGATGCCTGGTGACTCTTTTAGTGGTTATTTCATTCTAGCATGTTAAATACATCCCATGGGACAAGTTGTTTGTGATCCAGAACCAGGATCAGTAGAGTTTCTGCTTACTGCAAAATCCTGCTGCTGTAGTAACATGCAATTGTGTCACCTGCATAAGTGGTCTCATAACACAAGTCACCATCTCCACAAAGAAGATTTGCTCTTCTCTTGAGCAACAGCAATATTTATGCTAAGTGGTGCTATCCTGTATTTCTGCACTGATTTCCCATTCAATGAAAGCTCAATGGAATACCCCCCTTCCCTCCCCCCCTTAGTCTGGACTTCACTTTGGATAGGAGGTTAATCTTTAACACTCTTAAGTATGGTAGAACACACTGGGCCTTCTCTTAAAGCTCACCTTTTCAAGAACTAGAAAAGTTTTCTTCTTGTTACTTTTCTATGCTATGTCAGTGATTCCCACCCTTGAGTAACCAGATAGATAGACTAACCAGCTACTAGTGAGGGCTTCTGGGAGTTTCAGTCCAAGAATACCCTGGGTCACCCAAGGTTGGAAACCACCACACTACATGATCACTGAATAAAGAAATTCTGCTCTTTTAATTGTAAACTGCTTAATAGATTTGTATTCTTTGCTGTGAATATGCCACGGATAAACAGATATTTGGGTTGGGAAGGAACTTCTATGAGAATTTGTGGAATCTTATGGTGCACTTAAGGTAGCAATAGTGATAAATTCTAAGATTTCACTTATTTGTCTTGAAGAATTTTGCCACAAAAGCTTTGGCAAATACTGCAAAATAGCTACAACAGAGTGTTTCCTTAGATTAAAAGAAAAGAGTAAATGCTTTTTAAGAAATGCATTGCCCATCTGTCATCATCTGTGATCTGTTTCTTTAAAAGGGAAGTCAAATTGTTTAGAAACCTAGAATGTTCCTTGGAAGCAAACATGATGGTCAAATATATTCACATCAGTTCACTTAGTTATCTCTTCTGGCAATTTTAGTTTCTATATTTCTTGTATGTCATTCTATCTTTTTCTTTTCCAGGATATATCTATTGCATTTCCAGGAGATACCTATTTCCAGGAGATATCTATTCCCAGGAGATATCTATTGCATCATAAAAATAAAACTTCTAATGCTTCCTTTCAGGACCTCCATTGTTCCATCTTGCAAGCATGTGAGAGTTGTCCTTTACTTGAGTTTGCCAAGAAAAGTTGCTTTAGCATTGTTTTGAATTCACACTTGTTTCCTTTCCCCCTCTCCTAGACTGTTTATTCTATGGCTCAGTTCCCTTTCCCACAGCTATCAGAATTGAGGGAGAAGTATACATACAACATTACTCCTTTCCATGCCTCAGTAAAGTCAACCTCAGGGTAAGTCTTCCTTTCCCTGCCTCTCCAACCTGTGGGCGTAATACATCTGATGAGAAGTCCTAGTCTGGTCTGTGAAGGGTCTAAGGGATTCATCTTCCTCTCCTCAGAGTTCTGTTCCTCAGAAACCCCCTTCATCCCACTCACTCCCCACCGAAAGGAAAGAGACGAGGGAAGAGAAATCTTGCTACCAGCAACAATTCTTCCCACAGGAATAAATCCCACCCAGCTGGGAAGGCCACACTTTCATTTCCAATCTTAATCTGGAAATAAACTTAGGGAGCTTTGCCCACTCTTCTCAATTTCTGTGAATGCCTAGCACTGGTCAGAGGAGGATTCCTGCATCCTGCACTTCGTTCTGCAACAACAGAGTGAGCTCCCTGATTGCAGTATTGCTCTAGCCAGTGCTGCAGCTGGGAAACTGTTGATATGCATGGGTCATGGACATAATATCAAGGTCATCCTGAACCATTTTTCCATCCTTGCCTTATAGTGTTATCTAGGCAAGGCAGCAAGTTTGTGTACACAAAAGAGATAAACTGGTGTGGTCATATATATTTGCTTGTTGAACTGTTGAATTTATTGTGGTTGTACTTTTACACATCCAAATGAACATATGCTTTCCTTTTATAGCCGGCTTGGAAAAATTAGAGACAGTGATGAAGAGAATGATCTTGATGATGAAGATTCTATAGCTAATGTCATTGGTTGCCTGGGACCATTCAGTGGGTTTCTGACACCAGAGCTGCAGAAGCACCAAAAACAATTTAAAGGTAAACTTTTCAACCATTATGATACTTTTCTGTGAGAGCCCCTTTTTTGTGGGAGCCATTTCCCATGGCTTCATCCCACAGTGCTTTTATAGTATTTAAAGATGGGCAAAATAAATCTAACTGCCTGGGTCCTAAACTTGAAATGTATGCCCTAAATTGTGGCTCGGCTTAAATGGTAAAGGTTCCCCTTGACAATTTTATCCAGTCGTGTCCAACTCCAGACGGCGGTGCTCATCTCTGTTTCCAACCCATAGAGCTAGCGTTTGTCCGCAGACAATCCTCCGTGGTCACGTGGCCAGCGTGACTAGACAAGGAACGCTGTTTACCTTCCCACCAAGGTGGTACCTATTTATCTACTCGCATGCTTTTGAACCGCTAGGTTGGCGGGAGCTGGTACAAGCGACCGGGGCTCACTCTGTCACGTGGATTTGATCTTATGACTGCTGGCCTTCTGACCTTGCAGCACAGAGGCTTCAGTGGTTTAACCCGCAGAGCCACCACGTCCCTTTAATGAACTAAATATAAAATACTCGAAGCAAAGTCTGTGTAATTCAGTGGCCCATAATTTTATTTATTTATTTATTTAATTTATATCCCACCTATCTAGTCAACTCAGGACTACTCTAGGCGGCTAACAATCAACAAATAATAAACACAAACATATATAAAACAAAATAGATAATAAAAACCTTACAAAGATAGAAAACCAGAGGAGAGGGGAGAAGGAAGAACATCAAGGATTGTCTGGTGGGAAGGCCTGCCAGAACATCTTCAATTGTTTCTTAAAGATAAGAGAAATAAACCCTATTCAGTTGTTACAATTCCCTTTATAATCAGCACACTTCGAGAGGAGTGTTTAGCTCTGCCCACTTCATCATCACAGTGTTTAAGGAAAGACGTTCTTGCCACACGTTGGTTGTTCATTCATGCAAGAGTCCTGGAAATTCTGGGTTCTTGCTTGTGTATGAAATCTACATATGAGCAGACACTTTTCTTTGGACTCCTCTGTAATCATGTGAACAAAGCAACAATAGAGTGGGGAGGGGTGCTCCGTTCTGACTTGTTGATGAAACTGGGGATTTCAACAATTTAACAGGTTTGGAGAGACAGAAGGTATTAAAGAAACAGTTCATGCACAGGCAGGTTTGGTACTACTTGTGACATAATAGCATAGCATTTGGCCTCCAGTGCCCAAAAGACAATATACACAGGCCTGAGCATATATATATATATATATTCAGATGCAGGGGAGGGGTATCAGGAGACAGGTATCTAGTTGTCTCCTGTGCTTCCAGAGGCATTTGATGGGGCTACTGGGAGATACAGGAAGCTGGACTAGATGGGCCCTTGGCCTGATCCAGCAGGGCTCTTCTTATACTTTTGGTGGAATTTAAGCTCACTTTACAACTTCTGGCTGCCACAGAGCTCTTAATGTTTAACAACAATTTAATTGGAAGTACGAGTAGAAACCAATATCTAAATCCATGGTTATTTTAACAATTACTCGAGAGAGAATCTACTGTTACTGCATTACATTCTGACGCATTTCTCATGCTTTTCCTGCTCTGTGTAGATCATAATGAGGAACAGAGTCTAAGGTCTAGTAACATTGCAGAACTGAGTCCTGGAGCAGTAGATGCTTGTCGAAGTGAATATCATGCAGTCTTTAACAGTATGATGATGGAGCGTATGAACACAGATATTAACGCTTTGAAAAGACAGTATTCCAGAATAAAAAAGAAGCAACAGCAGCAGGTACATCAGGTGTATATCAGAGCAGGTAATGGCTTGTTTTCAAAATGTACAATTTGACATCAACTGTATGAATGGAGAAGCAAATGATGTTTGTGTGAATTCATCCGTATATAGAAAAAAGAAGAAAGAAGAGGAGAGTGAATGAAACATGGAAGAGAGATCTCATTTTACTACAACAAACATGCCACATAAAAATAATGGTGATCTTTGTTTTTCCTTGTCAGGGTCTGAAGATAACGACCCTGGGATAACATTAGATCCCAGGGACCAGCTGAATAATGGTATTTAAAGATATTTGTGCTAACTTGGGTGTACAGCTTTGGTTTTATTTCTCTCACTACTATCATAGGCATCCTTGGATTTACAATAAAGCCTTCTAAATTCCTTATTATCTAGGCTATGTTTTGGCATCAGAATTAAATTAAACGATTGTGTTGAATTAGTATTGTGCCAACTTTTGTCCAAGTCTGGCTGTTGATAAATTACACATAACAGTCTTAGTGTTTGGTGTCCTTTGTGGCAGTATTTTCAGCAAGATGAAATACAGAGAGATGAAACTTCCATTTGCTGCTTATCCCATTATAGTGTGCAGGGATATGGAAAATTGTATGCCACTTCTGACCCTGAATGGGATTCTGCTCTTCCATTTCACAAGAGCAATACACTTCCGATGAAACATGACTTATAAAATCTGGGAAATAGGAAATAATCATGCTGCCAAAAATAAAGAAGGCTTTCATTTCCCAGGATTGCCGGGGTTCCTTTTCGCTAATCATAAACAGATATATATTTCAATCTTAGCACTCTTTGCTTTTTTCCTTTCACTTGATGTTCTGTTGGGAAGTGGTCTATCTTAGTTACTCTGTAGAATTACTGAACATTTATTGTCATATTGAATCTTTAGCCAGCTCTTTGATTATAGGAATTGTGTAGTTGTGATGAATTAGAAACTATAGGCAGAGCCCAGCATGGTTTGGGCATGATTTAGGCATGATTTAATAGTAAATGAAATGTTATGGGAATGCAGATATTTAATATTTAAATTATAATAAAAACATGCAGCAGTGATTGTTCTTTTCATGGATGCTCCCTTAAAAATAAAATCAGGGTTAAGTGACTAGTTTTAACAGTAACTTTATTATTTTATAATGATCATTGCCCAATCTTACTAGCTTTAAACATTATTTTCCACAAATAAAGCAAAGTATGCTCCTTATATACTGCTTCGTAGGACAAAAAAAAAACTCCTGCCAGTCAGTGTAGACAATACTGAGTTAATACTCGTTGTATGATATAGCTTCCTGAGTGTTTGATACTTTTTCTTTAGTTCTAACTTTAAACATTATTTTCCACAAATAAAGCAAAGTATGCTCCTTATATACTGCTTCGTAGGACAGAAAAACTCCTGCTGGTCAGTGTAGACAATACTGAGTTAATACTCGTTGTATGATATAGCTTCCTGAGTGTTTGATACTTTTTCTTTAGTTCTAAACCAATATAAAACAAAACAAAACAAAACATGTTTCTACTTAATGGCTGAAATCCTGTTGCACAGGTATGCAAAGGCATAACTTTTAGAGGCAAATCACTGTAAGTGAAGAAATCATTGAAGACATTACCTATTATATGCTGGGCTTCATGGCTTGACATGCAACAAATAATGTCTACGGATATTTCTAAACTTACATTGATTTGCTTCTAAAAGTAATGTACTTTGCATAACTAAACTACAGAATTTTAGACAATGTCTTACATGCTGCCCTGTTTCTTGCACATTCCTGTCTTTCAGTTAATGGAACCTGATCAGTCTGTTCTTGGACTTTGCTTTTAATATATGTTAAGAAAGTAACTGGCATGCTGAGTTTGTGCTCTCTGCTTCTTGACTCTTTGGATTTTAAAATACTGTATATAACCTAAATGGAACTGATTTTACCTCTAGTGATATTCCTACATGTTTTTTTGTCTCTGTAAGTGCTGATGTGATGCTATCAGAAATGGAACCAGGTTATTATTTATAATTATTTGCCTGGCATCTTTCAAGAACATCCTTTTAAATATTTCTTGTTTTCTTTAGATAAAGGACCAGTTACCAGTCTTCTGCCTTCTCAGGTGAATAATTCTCCCGTGATCAACCATCTTCTACTAGGAAAAAAGATCAAACAAAGTAACAAGTCTGCCAAGAATGCTATTATTCATATTCCAAACCATGCAGGAGGCAAGATGTCCCCTGGGTCCCATGAAGACCTTAAAACAAAGCTCAACTCTCCTTGGCGCACGCATATTAGGGTGCACCGAAAGAACATAGCAAGAGCCAGAGGCCAGCTGGGCTATGGAGATACTATAGGGCTGATAGAGGAACAGAGTGAAGGTGGGAAAACCAATAGTCCCAGTGGAAAAGAAGAGTCTCAAAGCAAATCAGAATCTCTGGAACGAGAAGGGAACGAATTGGATGCTGGGACAACCAGGAAACTTGATGGACAGTCTCCTGAACCTGAATGCCAAGATGTCAGTGCCAGTGCCAACATCTCATCCGTTCAGCTGAAGCTGGAAGCATTGGAACTCACTCAGGACAACCAAGAGGAGACTGATTCCTTATCAAGCCTGTGCTGTCAAACACACACATCTGAATCGCCAAGTTTGTCCAGTGACAGTGGAACAGTGCCAACATCCCCCCAAGTCAGCACTCCCAAATCTCAAGTCTTCAGTCCTTTTCCTAGTGTCAAGCCACTTAGAAAATCTGCTGCGGCTAGAAATTTAGGATTATATGGCCCAACTGAAAGAACCCCAGCTGTGCACTTCCCACAAATGAGCAGGAGCTTTAAGAAGCCCACAAATGGTAGCAGTGGGAACAAAAAACGATGATGCACCTGCCACCCACACTTCCTTAGTATTATTGGCATTATTATTACTGTTTTAGTTTTTATTATGTGTGTTTGTGCCCAAATGAATTTATAAATAATTTAATTATTGCATTGAAATAAGAGAGATAAGTAACAACTGCTGTATAAAGTATATTGTTAGAACTCTGTGTTTTTCCATAATGCAGAACAGTATAAGTACATGGTGATGCATTCAGTTTTATGTTAAAACAAAATAAATACTGACTTGCAGCATGGAGTGTATTTTCCAGTTCTTATGTATTATTACCTGCAGGAAAACGCATAGTAAGCTTCTGTCCTTGCCCTCTGCTGTCAAGCATTCACTGATATTTTGGGGACAATTTTCCTTTAGTTTTATTTATGGACTAAGCATTTTGTCAAGACTATCACCACCTTATGGCTGGATTGTTCATTAGTAAACCCTCTTAAGTGCCTCTGAGGAATGGCACTGCATCTCAACACTGAGAGCAATTCAAAACTGCTTGCTGTCTGTATTTGGTATGCTGATAGGTTTGAACACCTAATCTACTAGCAGTAAATCTAATGTTTCCACTACATTGCCATAGGTGTTTCTATTTAAGTATTTTCAGTATAATTTTATTGGGTAGAGAGAGAGAAGTTGCAGTTTTTTAATGACTTTCTCTTGACTGACTGACTAACGGATAGCCTCTCATGAGTATATGACTGCCACCATAGCCTTTTTCTTCTTCTTCCTGTAAGGCATGTAACTTTTTACATGATTAGTAGTGTTGTGTCTTCAATATATGTCAACTCTAATGCAGTGGTTCTTAACCTTTTTGAAAGAAACGCCCCGTTGAGCCATTGAGGAAGTTATCATTGCCCCCGCAGTGATGATATCGTATTTATTTATTTATTTCATTTTTCAGGGGGGCGGTAGAACGAAAAGGGGCAGCGTGGGGGCGCTGGAGCAGAAGGGGGCGGTAGGGGGCGCTGGAGCAAGCCAAACC